TTTACATACCAATTACTTAAATAAAAGCACAGAGAGAAAATTAATAAAAATAAGAGGTGTGGCCTCATTACAATGAGAAACATCAAATAGGTGTGTGTGTGTGTGTGTGTGTGTGTGTGTGTGTGTGTGTGTGTGTGTGTGTGTGTGTGTGTGTGTGTGTGTGTGTGTGTGTGTGTGTGTGTACACGGTAAATGATCTAACCATCACTTTATATTTATTTTTTCGACATTTGAGTTTGTTCTAATTTCAAAGAAGCTTAAATGAGTCTTTACTCACTGATTGGGAAACATTCTCCTTCATTGCTTTCATGAAGCTCAATGGATTTATTTAGGTCATAGCAAACTTACCCATCCACTAAAACAGCTTGACAGCTTGTGCATGATCCTTTTTCATCTCTGACCTTCTCCTCTCCTTCCTGGTGTTTTGCTGTGTCTCTACATGCAGCAGTTCGAATGATTAGTTTTGGGTATCACATGTCAATTTTATTTCAACCGATTTGGTTTGTTGTCATTTTAACAGGCAAAGAAGATGGGAAGTCGTGTCAGAAGGTGACGGTGAGGATGACAATTAGGAAAAACGACTGTCGCAGTAACAGGCCTGTAAGCTATGAGACTTTTGTGATGTGTTGCTAATTGTGTTAGCAGAAAAATAAATGTCTAAATGTAAAACCCAGTAGCAATATTCAAACACAGGTAAAGAAAATAAGTGAGGGAGGGCAGTATATCATCTGCATACTGTATGCGCTCAACTTGAAATGATGTGGAAGTCACAAAATGCAAACTGTCCTTTATATTCTTCTATCAGTGTAGTTTGACAGCATTTTGAAATGTTGAATTAATACTTTTTTTTAAATCTGTTTATTTTCATTGAAAATGTATGGCCATGGGTTATAGTTGGTTTTATAAATTATAAAATAAATTAAAGCTGAAAGCAGTGATGAACTGGCTCTCGCACAAAATTACGTATTGCGTGGAGTTTGATGCACTAAAAAGCAACCCATCCCATAAGAAATGTCTAACTTATGCTTCCTTTGATAACTGCATTGTTTGTTAAAAAAATAGCAGATGAACAAAATATGTTTAAAACATTTATCGTGTCCTGTGTGTGTGCCACCAAATCAACCACATGTGGCATGTGGCAACCGGTCACCCTACCTTTGGTGTCCACTATGAGGTGCTAACCCATGCTTAAAAATCTTTTGAACTTAGGTGTAAACAGCTGTTTGCACAGAAACTTTGTCCAGTACTAACGTTAACTTTCTAGAAAAATGGTCCCCCCTTTTGTCTGAAACTAACTTTTTAGAAACAAAATAAATGTATCAGTTTACTAAGGTCATCACTACTAAAGCCATCAAGTAGCATGGGTGCCCGGGCCATTATTAATAGAGCTCATAAATCACTGTCACTGACAAGTTTAATGTTCTCTCCTGCTCATGGAAAGTTCGCTTATTTTTTTTATTTCTGTTTGCTCTCTTCCTGTTTTGTGTCCAAAAAGAAGTAAATCTATTTTCTAGATGTAGAATAAAAATCCCTGGCAGTGTATTGGAGCTTTTTTATTTCCTGTACATACTGTCGATAACATAATTTATTAATCCCAAAATATGACAAGAACAAATTAAGAAGATTCTGAGAGCAATACATCATATACAGTACATACGCACTTAACTTAAAAGGATACCCATGAAGATAACAATGTGGCAGTATCTTCCCTTAGCATTAATCTGAGCAGTTTGGGCTTCATTTGCCAGAATAACAAGTGAAGTTGGCAACTCCGCCTCACCTGTAGCACACATTTTAGTTTTTTTTTTTTTTTTAAACTATGCTTAGTTAAATACTGAGTGTGCTTGCTGTTATTGCAGCCCTGTTCCTTTTCACTGACTCTCTGTCCTGCAGGTGAACATCGTGTCATGTGATGGGAAGTGTCCGTCCGCCAGCATCTACAACTACAACATCAACACGTACGCTCGCTTCTGTAAGTGCTGCAGAGAGACGGGGCTGCAGCGGCGCTCCGTGCAGCTCTACTGCAGCGGCAACGCCACCTGGGTCAGCTACACCATCCAGGAGCCCACCGACTGCTCCTGCCAGTGGTCCTAAACACACACACTGCACCGACACACACACAGATGGTGTTTAGATCTACATCCTCTTAAACCACAAAACCATGAAGAGGCAGATGAAAGCCCAGCATTGTTGCTTTAGGATGTTGCGAGAGTGGAATACTGAGCTGGGATTGGCTGGACTTCATGACTGACGCTCTTGCTCTCCAGTTAGTTGTTCTGCTGCCTCTGCTGGCAGAGAGGTTGTACTGCAGGCAATCTGCAGCCAGGGCCATAAAGGTGACCTTTGACCTCCGATATTTACCTTTCAAGGGAAGTAAAACAAGCCTTCATATGACTATTTTGAGGATTTTAATTGATCAACATTTAAAAAACAAACAAAGTTTAAGTTAATTTACTGTGCAGCTTAAATGTTCCTTTAAGTTAATTGTAAAATAAGAGCAGCAGACTGGTGGCATGTAATTCATAGCAGTGATTATAATAACACATTTCCCATCATTCCTTCCCTTCCTTCTATTTTTTATTAAACAAAAAGCTGCCTTTCTCAGTTAAGGCTATGTGCTTTAATATATAAAATCAAACGAGATAAGAAGTAATGCAAATTATTTAAAAGGAAGTCACAAAACACTTGGTAGTTACAGCACTTTTGTAATCATCAGACACATTGTCCCTATTTGGATATCTAATTGATATCAAAATAATATTTGAACACCTCCGCATGGTCCCAAATCCCCCGCTGCACAGCTGCACTGCCACCTCCCTGCCAGACTGCAGAGAAAAGTCAAAGTTAAGCAATGTGAAAAGTAAGTTGAGTTTTGTTTTGAAGGGTGAGCCACTGTTTCTGCTCATAACCTAAGAGTGCTCCTGTGCTTCCATGACTCAAAAGTAGAGAGAGAGAGATTCATATTTTACCCAGAATTCCTCATGTTGTGCTTTGTTTTTTGTAAATATCTTTACTTTTTTTTTTAATGATTTGCAATACCAAATTCTTAGGTGATATATATATATATATATATATATATATATATCAATTTTAGAAAAAGCAACTATCAACTGTATATTTAGTGATTTTAAATGTACTTTATATAATCAACATTAGTGAGGTGTTTAACTGATTTAAACCCAACTGTATGTGGAGCACTTTATTTATTTATTGGAGTTTGATAGAGCACAAACGTTGTAATTGTTATGGACAAATACAGAGAGAGAAGAGAAGCATTAGGACTAACTGAGAACATCCAGCCAGACATGTTGCAACATTTGATTTGGTTGTATTACTTCCTGACAGAAGAGGGCTTGATATTGCAATATAAAGGTTTCTCTCTGGACTAAATTCAGATCAAACAGACCCTCCTGGATAGTCGAGGATTTGTATCATACAAATGTACATTTGCGTTTTCAATAAATATTTCTTTTGGAAAAATAGTTTACTCTGTTTATTAGAAAAGGACAGTGTGCAGTAGAGATGATGTTGTTTCTATTCATGTCATAATGTTGTTACTGTACATAATGAACACATTTTCACCTTTTATTCTTTTGGCTGGTTAAGATTAATTAAAGGGGACCAATTATGCACATTTTCACATTTCATATTTGTATTCAGTGTCTCTACTGGGACATGTCTCCATGCTTTAATGTTCAAAAAGCTCTTTATTTTTCTCATACTGCCTGTGCTGCTGCACCTTATTTCACCCTCTGTCTGAAACCAGAGCCCAGTCTGCTCTGATTGGAGAGAGAGAGAGAGAGAGAGAGAGAGAGAGAGAGAGAGAGAGAGAGAGAGAG